CTCCTAGGGACAGGGGAGGGCCCAGGCTCGCAGGTGACCACAGTGCGGGGTGATGTGCCACAAAGATGCCCGAACAGAAAGAGCAGCTGTGAGAGGAGGGGGCCATACACTCAGCTTGGGAGTTCCAGACAGACTCCCCTGAGGAGGTGCTGCTCCATCTTCAACAAATGGGGTGTCTTGATCAGAGGAGGGCAATCCGGAAGACGGAAGTTTGGGCAGGACGGTGCCGCAGGGCATGGTGTGATCGGGTGAGGAGCGTTCCTGCTGGGACACAAAGTGAGCTGGTTAAATCCGAATGCCAGATACACGATGACATTTTTTTGGTAATTTTTAAAATTTTTTAAAAATTTAATTTTTAAAAATGTTTATTTTTTTATTTTTAAATTTAATTTTATGACATATTTTTTTAGTATGAGCATGTCCCAAATATTGCATGGGACATACCAGAACTACAAAACGATTCACCGTTTATCTGATCTGGGATATGCTCACGCTACACAAAAATTCATTGTTTATCTGACATTCAAATTTGACCAGGCATCTTGTAGTTTTATTTGTTAAACCTGGCAACTCTAACACCACGCCCACACAGCAGTGCCCATCAGGGGAAACCAGGAGGCAGGAAAAGCTTCCTGGTTACCAGTGAGTACGTGAGAATGACTAGAGATTTATCTGTATATCTGAAGAATTAAAAATGCAGAACGTTTCAAACAGGGAGCTGAGGGCCACTAGTTCTTTGATGCCCCTCTGTGCCCATGCGTGGCCTTCAGCCTGGCTAACAGTTGACTGTGCCTAAGCCTGCCCCCGCCCCCTACTGTGTCCCACTGAGCTCTTCCCCAGAGAAGGCCTTGGGTTCCCTTGGTGCCCCCTACTGGCCAAGCACTGATAGGTGTTTAATTCAGACTTGGACAGAAGACAGCTCAGAACTGAAAATCCATAGACCCAGGTTTCAGTCCTGTTCTGTTGTTTAAAGGTGGGGCAGCTCCGGGTGCTCAGGCTGTTTCCTAGGCTATCAAATGGGGATTCAATTCCACACGTAACTACCGAGCTTTGACTTTGTTCGAGGCCCTGCCCTGACTGTGGGGAGGACAGAGATAGAAAGGAAGCCCCTTTTGAAGAGTCAGTCACTGGAGACGATATAATGTTACTAGCAATCAGGACACTCTCTACCAGATGCTGTAGCCGGACGTCAACCTTGAAAACGACCCCCAGGCGACCCCGTAGGAGGGGTGGGATTAGGCCCTTTTCACAAGAGAAACAAGGCTCAAAGAGGCGAGTGACTTGCCTATGACCTCAACACAGGCAAAGCTGGGGTTTAGAGCCAAGGCTTAGTCCTAAGCTGAAGCTGTCAGAGTATGACAACTTGTCAATCACATGATGGAAGTGCATGTGAGGAAGGTGGCCCAGGTGAGGGGTGGACCAACTGGGACTTGGGCCAAAGCCTCATCTAAAGGGTGGCCAGGTCACGGGGCTTCGGGCCCAGGGTGACTATGGGCCACGTGGGGACATGTCCTGCGTTAGAAGGAGGGTGACGTCTACTCCCAGAAGCATGAAGGCACATGTGAGCCACATGGCTGGCTCCAGTCCTCACATACACGCTGGCGGGGCCAGAATTTATGCTGTGAGAGGCAGGGGTCTCATGCCTGAGCACGGGCCACTGAGGCGCCACTCCCCGCCCCCACCCCTCTTCTAGGCACTCAGCTCTCAACCTCCTGCTCCTATGGGAGAGGTGTGAGCTGTTGTGGACAGGGGCACAGCCTGACCAGCTGGAGAGAGAACACATCTAGTTATGCGTGATGTGCCTGGAAGCTGGAGGGATGGAAACAAATCAGAGTCTGCTGTCTATGGCCATGCCGCCCTGAACACGCCTGATCTCATCTGATTTCGGAAGCTAAGCAGGGTTGGACCTGGTTAGTACTTGGATGGGAGACCACCTAGGAAGGTGGTCTACCAGGTGCTGTAGACGGTTAAAAAAAAAGAGAGAAATCTGAGTCCGCCTCCACTCAGGGAGCTCACGCTACTGTATAAACACGAGTGCACAACAGACGGACTCCAGCTTAAAGATACGATGATGGAGGTCTGTGTAGGGTTCAGGGAATAAAAAAGGAGGGAGTGGTCAGTTGTACCTGAAAATAACCATTTTCACTGAGCACTTATTATGGACTAAGCACAGTACTCGTATTATCTCACTCTCATCAAAACACTGAGGTAAGTACTATCATCGTTCTGATTTTACAAGGAAACAGGCACAGAGAGGCTAATTAACGTGACTGAGATCACACAGCTAGAAACTGCAGCACCAGGACCCAAGCCTTGTTGGACTTTGGAATCTGTGCTCTTACCCACTGTGAAGGGGACAGGCAGGTTGGAAAGGCTGAGCAGAGGTGACACCTGAGCCAGGTCTAATCGATGGATGCATCAGGTGAGACTGAAGTGGGGAAGAGCAGGCGAGGCAGAGAGAACCGTGAGCAAATGCTCAGCGGCATAGACCTCGTAGCAGCTCAGGGCTCACAGTGGTTCTTGGACCCTAACCCTGGAGTCCTCACGAGCCCTGCCGAAGAGTCTCGACTAGAGCTCTAGGTTGCAAACAAGACAGAATAACGCTGGCTAATGTGAGCAGATGAGCAGGAAAGGATTTTATTGGAAGGATTCTGGGGAGTCACAGAACTCATAGGAGGCACAGACTCAAAGGGCAGGAAGTGTGGACGCTGGCTGCCAGGACCACCGAGGGCCCCACAGCAGGAGCAAACTGTAGTGACCTGCCATCTCCTCACAGGATAATGGAGATCCAGGGCCACTAGACACGGGGCTGCAACCTCACTGAATCTTCAGTTGTCCTGAATCCTCAACTGTCCTTCCCTCTTTTCCGTTCTCGCTCCAGGTGCAGAATCTGATTGGCTGAGCTCAGGCCAGGTCAGATGCCCCAGTCCTGGTCGCCGGGATCAGCTGGAGTAAGTGTCTGGCCTCTTCACGCCCATGGAGGGAAGTGGGGTCCTGCTTGTAGAAACTGAGATTCTGGGCAGCCAAAAGCCAGTAACCATCATTACACCACTGCGCGAACAACGGGAAGCCACCAGAGTTTAAAAATTTATTATGGAAAATAAATACGTAACACAAAGTCGACCATTTTAACCATTCTAAGCGTACAGATTCAGTGGCATTAAGCATGTTCACATTACAAGTTATGCAATCATCACCACCACCCATCTCCAGAACTTTTTCATCTTCCCACATTGCAACTCTATACCCATTCAGCAATAACTTCCTGTTCTGCTCCCCAACTCAGCTCCCGGCAACCATCATTCTACTTTCTGCCTCTATGAGAATGACTATTTTAGGCACCTCACGAAAGTGGAGTCGCACAATATTTGTCCTTTTGTAACTGGTTCATTATACCCAGCATCGTGTTTTCAAGGTTCACCCATGTTGTAGCATGTATCGGAATTTTCCCTTTGGAAGGCTGAATAATCTTCCGCTGTATCTATATACAGCATTTTGCTCATCCTGTCATCCATCCATGGACGTCTGTGTTGTTTCCACCTTTTGGCCATTGTGAATCTTGCTGCTCTGACCCTAGGTGTACAAATACTTCTTCAAGACTCTGCTTTCTTCTTACATCCAGAAGTAGAACTGGTCAAGGGGTTTCGAGCAGAGGAGAAACAGCACCATATTTTGTCCCTCAGGAAACTCATCGGGCCACAGTGTGAATACTCTGGAGAGGTGAGAGATGAAAGAGGAGACCCACTAGGAGGCCAGGGTGACTGTCCAGCGGTTGTAGCGATGGAGGATGTTGAGGACGTTGGGGCTGATGGGATGGGGTAAGGGAGAGGGTGAAGCCGCAGATGACCCCTGGGGGCCTGGCTTGTGTGACTGGATCAGCTCGTGGTGATGCTAATGGCGCAGCAGGGAGCACAGGAAGAGGCGAGCTGGTGGGTGCGCTGAGTTCGAGATGACTCCTGAGATAGTGCTAGGAGACGGTCCTAGATTCTTGTTTGTAGCTCAGCAGAGGTATGAGGTAGAGGTAAAGACAGGGTGCTTTTGGCTCAGGCTGCAGAGGCTGGAGTCTGGAGCGATGGGCATTAGGTGGTCACTGGTTACTTCTGGCTGAGCAGTAAATGGAGTCAGGGCACCGGGAATAAATGGGATGGAAACGGAGAGCAACTTTTGAACATTCTTTCGACCTTAACTTTGAAAGGCATAATGGTAGTAGCTAAAAACAGGTGCCAGTCGAATTTTTTGGGTTAAGGTGGTTGTTTTTAACGATGAAATGAACATAAGCCTGCTTAGGACTTGGAAGAGGAAGAGGTACAAGGTCTCGGATGAGAGAACTGGATCAAAAGCCAACACAGAAACTTGGCCTTGAAAAGAGAGGCCTGCTTTCTTCTGGGTGAGGGAAGGAGGTAGAAGCAGGGCGGTTTGGGGAGGCTGTGGGGAGAACTTAAGAACTTAAGGCCTTGATTTGCTCCAAGGCCTAGGACGCAAGGACAAGTTGTAAAGAGGATGAGAGGGAAGGAGACTGGTTTGTGCCTCCCGCGTGGAGCTGCATATCTGCGTCTTCGACTAGCTTCTTAGGGGCTTCTGCGCCCCCTGCCACAGGGCACCCGGCCGGTCCAGAGAGGAGCTGGCCCATTCACAGGCGCCTGACAAGGAGGGGGCGTAGAGAACATGGACTAGACTAGGGGTGGGGGAAGGGTGGGTTCCCAGGCACTGGGCAAAGCTCTTAGCAGCCTCACCCCAGACCCTGTCTCTTGCCTCCTGGGCCAGGAGTGGGTGGGGCTCCCTCAAGGACTATGCTTCAGGCAGCCCTGCCTTGGAGGAGCAAGAGTGAGTGACTGGACAGACATGGGGAGTGGGGCGACAGGACTGAAGGCCAGGCTGGCAGACCCCTCTACAAAGGGACAACACAGTGACCCAGCCCAAAGAAGGCTTGGCTTCCTGGCCCTCACACCCTCAGTTCTGCCTTTGACCCGGTAAAAGAAAACAACCTATGAACAGACAGATACTCTTCAATCAAGTTTATTTTTTACTTTAAAAAGGAAACGCCAATTCTCCCTCAAATTCCACATTCTCAATTTTTCAGGGACACAGAGAGGTCTGCAGTGGTGACATCAACTCAACATCACCTGGCCACTCCTGATTCTGCAGGACTAAGGGGTTCTGCGCCAGCCAGCGAGGACAGGAATTCTTCGGCTGCACCCAGCTCGCGGGCGTCTGGCCCGCGCTGGCAAAGGGGCTTGCTGGCAGTCTGACGAAGCGGGAGGTGCCGAACAGGCAGCCTGGGACTCCCAGGCCTTGCAAGTTTTGTTAGCGCCGACCGGCCTGCGCTGTTCTTCGTTCCTTAACGAAGCAAGCCCCCATCTCCCCGGCGGGCTCTGCTCTCCACTAGCCCCTCTGCCCTCCTCTTAGCCTCTACAAACCTGTAAACGTCAAAAGGTTCAGCTACTTGGAGTATGGCTGGGCAACCTGTGAAAGCCCGCCTTTCACCAGCATTGAGAAATGGGAGCGTGGGAATGAGGTTCCCTTGGAAACAAGACAACCCCCTCCCCCCAGCTCAACTCCTGGCACCTGCCCCAGGCAATGCCCTCCTGAGAGATCACTGAGAGCTAAAGGTTAAACCCGCTGTGGACCCCCGTCCCTTTCTGGCCCGTGGGGAAAGCTTCCCTCAAACTCTGTAAGTGTGGCCGCAAAACAGTAGTGCGATAGCACCGTTCAGCCCATTCGGTTTTAAAGCTGAGCTGACTGTGTATTTTATTTTATAAGAAACAGGTGAGTGACAAAAGAGGGCGCCTCCTCCCACCGACCCATTCCTGGCCCTGCGCAGGTGGCCAGACCTGATGCCCTGAGCCTCAGATTCTGTGGAGGCTGCAGCCTGTAGCACGTAGCACCCCAAAGTGCACCCTTTGCCCACACAGCCAGCGCTCCATCAGCCTGACATTGAACCAACCATCTCAACAGCAGAACACAGAACTACAAAACACAGCTTCCATGTAATAAACACCCATGGTCTGAGGCCCTCCTTCAAAACCTGACTCTGCTGGCTGTGGGTCCAGCTTCTTCCTCAGTCTGTCCTCAATCCACGAACTCTCTGCTGGACCATCTATAGAATCTAAGAGGAAACCCAAGCCTTTTTACATAGATGGAACCAAGCCGCCACCAAAAGGCAACTGGAAAGAGAGCCTGAGGCTGCGGCAGACAGCCCTCGGAGCCTGCTTCTGTCGGGCTGGAGAGCAGCCTTGCTTCCCAGCCGGCGCTCGGTGCTCTTGCCCACAACCCCTGGCCAGGGATTCCACCTCCCTCATCTGTAGCCCAAACGGAAACCAGCCAGGACACTCCGAGAGGAAGGGAGGAGAGGATTAGGTAGGGTTTACTGACCAGAGACGGGATGCCAGTGCGAAGCCGGGCCAAGGGAACCCTGTTTCCTGAAGCTGAAATGGCTGCTGCCACTGTACACTCAGAGGACAGACCTCATGTGCAGCAACGGCACATGCGAAAGGTACCAAGGCCAAAGAAGGGGACCCCAAGTGTCTTTCCTGTAGGAAGAAGGAGCTATGTACAGGGGGAAGTGGGGAAGGCCTGGCCAGATGCACCCCATTTTATCTCATTCAACCAGGAGATCAAACTGCTCAGCAGCTTCAAACTCAGCATTCATGGCCGCGGCCCACTCATCCAGCTCCGATTTCTGGGGGAAGAGAAACGGGGGGCAGGTGAGTGGGGAGAGGGGCATGCTGGCTGAAGCACGTCTACCCACACCTTACAGGTGCTGCCTTTCCCCACAAAGCCAGAGCTGAGCCCCAGCCCAGAGTCTGCGTAACGCGGAGGCACGCCCCGGCCATCACTCACCAGGATCTCTGGCGCCTTCTTCTTCTTCCGTTTCTCCTTCACGACTGGTGGGGAGATTCCAGGGAGAGTTGTGTCCGGGGCCCAGGGATTTGCGGGGACCCTGGGGACCTCAGTTAACTTTGAACACACCAAAGGCGAAACTCCGGCCAGGTCTTCTGCCCCCAGCAGCCCCTCGAAGCCAAAGCAGGACCGGCGGCCTGGGGTGGAGGTGGAGGCACAGCCAAGGGTCTCCAGCCGGCTGTAGGAGCGCCTGACTTTCTTAGACATTTCCAAGTCTCTGGTGTCTAGGTCTTGTTCCCTGGAATTAGACTCAACATCCGGGTTGCACAGCACGGGAGTGGTGGTGGGGGTGCTGGGGACACTACATGACTTGAAGAGATCCTCCCTAGTAGGCTCCTGGCCAGGAGGCTTGTTTTCTTTCTCCAAGAAAAAGGCAATCTGTACCAGACAGGGGAGAGAACGTTTTCCCATTACTCAGCTGTGTTAGTGGCTTCCAGAAAGGCTAGCGGAGTTTTAGGGTGGAAGAAAAGACCCACAGGACCGGCAACAAATCAGACCCTGAGACAGATGTGGGAAAAGAATAATCGGTCATTGCTTCTGAGAGACTTTGCCATTATCTGCTGGTGCTGCCTAGATTTTGGTTTCCAAAACATGGCCAGAATCTAGTCACCTTTGACTGATGCAAGCCCCCATTACCTGTCACCCAGACCAGTTCAGTAACCTCCTAACTGCTCTTCCTGCTTCCACCTTCGCTCTGTGGTCCATTTGTCACAGCTGGCAATACTTTTCCTAACACGTCCATCAAGCAAGTACTTATTGGTCATCTGCTTGCTCCAGGCACTGTTCTGTTCTAGGCACTGAGAGTACAGCAGGGAATGAAGCAGAGAAAACCCCTGTCTCCGTGGAGCTTCCATTCCAGTGGGGAAAACAGACAGTAAGCAGGGACTATGATGTACTCTGTTAGAGGTATTAGCACTTTGGGAAAAAACAGACCAGGATACTGGGGGTGGGTTTGAACTGAGTAGGTGAAGGTCAACGCGGGCCTCACTGAGGTGGCTTCTGAGCTACCACCTGAAGGAGGCAAGGGGTACAGAAGTCCTGAGGTGAAAGTGTGCCAATTAGGGTCAAGGAACAAGAAGGCCAGTGTCTAAGGTGAGAGGGAGGAAAGGAACGGAAGATGGGGTTTGAGAGGTAATGGGGGCGTTAGAGAGTGTTTTTCTAGGCCACTGTTAAAGGGAGACCCAGGAAGCCCTGGCAGGGCTCCGAACAGGAAAAGGCTTAACATGACATGTGGATTATGAGGTTCACATACACTGGCTCCTTCTAATTCTACTCTCAGCTCAGATGCTGCTTCTCCTTACCATGGAATCTAGATCGGCCCCTCCTCACCTCTGCTAGTCACTCTGTCACAATGACCTCTTCCCTGTACAGCAACCATCACTATCTGCTTTTGGCTTGTTCACTGGTTGACTGTCACCCCCAAACAGAATGTGAGCTTCGTGAGATCAGGGGTCTTCATCTGTCTGGCTGATCTGCCTATGCCCACACGCAGAGCCCCACACGCAGCAGGGGTTCGGTAAGTACTCACCAAAGTAATGTACATTGAATTGGCACTGAGCTTCCTGGCAACCCAGACAAGGAGGAAAATGAGACAAATTCAATGACTCAAGTATATTGGTTCCCAAGAGAGCTATTTCTTATCTGTAAGCTCTGGAGAACATATCTCGAGTCTTAGTTAAAGGGATGCTGAACAAAATGGAGTTACCCCTGACTACTCCTTCCTCATCTTCAATAGCTAAGCAATCGTTCAAGTCCTTGCAGCTTTTTCTGTTCAATGTCTCATGAATCTATTAGTGAAACAAGAACGAATGGCCACCATGGGGAAGGGAAAGTCCCTGCCCTCAAGGCACTTACTGGGGAGGAAAAGACAACAAACACGCAAACAAATCCTCAGCTATTGATAAGACCTAAGAAGAACTACATTAAGAAATATGACAGTGATGGGGTAGGCATCCAGAGAAGGCTTCTGAGAGGAAGTGTCCATTTAGTGGAGTCCTGTGTGATGGGACAGTCATGTGAGGATCCAGGAAGAGGAGTATCGCTTTGCCATTATCTTACTGCAGGCCCCCATTATCTCACTTCAGGATTCCTGTTATGTCTCCCTACCAGGTCTCGTGGTCCTCAGCAGCCTCTTCCCAGCGCATTCTCCACCCAGCTTCAAGAGGGAGTTTTCTATAACCCCAGGCCTAACTCAGTCACTATCTTGCTTAAGAATTTCTGAAGGCTGCCCACAGAGCCAAGGCCAAAGCCCAAGTTCCTGAAGATGGCTTTCACACCTCATAGGGATCTGTTCTGGCTTGGCACGCTCCCTCCCCTCATGGGGTTGGCTGCAGACACACTAAACGAGCTGCAGCTCCCTAAACTTCCTGATTTTTTTTTTCTTTGTGGACTCCAGGTCTCTGCAAATACAACTTCCTTTATCCAGTACATTCTTACTTGACTGTAAAGATTAAAGACTGCTTAAATATTTCTATGAACGATTCTAAGCCACCTAGTCTGGGTTATGTGCCTTCATGGCATCTTGTTCTTTCCATATTGCAGTCCTGAGCATAGTATGTCATCACTTGTTCATTTGTCTTTCTCCCCACTTGACTGTAGCCCCACGAGCTCCTCAAAAATAGTGTTTCTCATTCATTATATTTTCAAGCATTATATCTTCGTTCACATCTTCAGATACCGATTTGAATGAATCATGTTAACTTCTGCTAAAACCATGAAAAAATCATGCACATAACTCATCTTGTGACAACCATAAATAAAAATGAAAACAAGATGCAGCAGAAAGAGTATTTGAAGACGCAGTTCAACTTTTAAAGAAAAATAGTAGAGAACACCACAGTAAAGTTTCAAATGGAAAATGGTAGAACATACCAGAACATTAATAGCTAAACGTGTGAAATCTACAAGAAGTAAGCAAAGTTGGCAATGCATGCAGGTGTCCAAAAGCAAATTGTTTCAAAATACTGCAAAACGGCCTCCTGAGCAGATGTGAGCAGACACTACGTGCTCCACCTCTGCTCTATAATATCCTGGATTCCTCTCAACAAAGCAGATGAAAATGAACTTACCCTAGGGCTCCTTCGAGGAGAGTGGACAGATGGGATCTGTGAAGACAATATTAACTGATCACATAGCCGGCCCCCAATTTTCGCTCCCACCCACAACCTCTCTCAGCCCTACCTTTACAGCATGGGCCACGATCTTCTTCAAGACGATGGGCTTTCTGACTGGAGCCGCAAGGGGTGCCTAGAGAAGAGAGGTAACCATGAGCTCTACGTTAGTCCAGAGGCCTCCGGAGTAGGAAATGAGGAATCCCGGGCTCACCTTCGGCCAGATTTCAGGGAGGGTGCTGGGGAGATCAGAGCCTGATTTCCGCTGGGACCTCCGCAGAGACTGAGTAGAGGACGGGGCCGCTGGCTCTGAAAAGGGAAAAAAGGTAGGGAAGGACTCTCAGGGTCTGGAGAATGGGTTCTGGAGAGAGCGAGAAAAGGTTCCCAAACAGAACCTTTGTGGGCGCCTTCCCGGGGCGGGAGGTGGGCGGTGGGCCGAGCCTCCTAGGGCGGTATGGGGAGGGCCTTCCTCACGGGACTGCGTCCCTCAAACGGCTCGGCCCCATCCCTCCCGTGTGCCCTCCGCTCACCGGGGCGCTGGGCGGCCCCTCCGGACCGCGTTCGTCTCTCGGACATATCTAGCTTTGGCCTTGATCTCTGCTGCCGCCGCAGCCGCCGCAGCCGCCGGGGCTCGCGCCAACCTCAGAGCCTTTCTGAAGCAGAAACGTTCGGATTACCCGCCCTGCCCAAGAGGAAGCGGAAGTGACGTAAGGCGGGAGGGCCGCCGTGCTCGGGTCGCCCCTTCTTCACCCGTCTCCACTTCCACGGTCGGCCGGGGCGGGGCCAGTGGCGCGCTGGCGTCATCAGCACGCGCCGCACCCGGAAGAGACGTGGCAGCGGAGGGATAATCCAAGCGGCCAGAGCTGGGAAGAACGGAGCTGGAGGTCTGCGGAGCGTGTTGTCTGTCGTTCCGCGCCGCGGAACAGCGCTCGCGCCCGTCGGGACCGGTGCTCCGGTGGATCAGTAACACCGAGAGTGGGGTCTGTGGAGAAAGTGGGGGCGGGGTTTGGAGGGGTAGGACTTGGGAGGGGCCCCTGGGGGCGGGGCTCGTAGTATCGGAGAGACGCTGATGGAGGGGCCTGGCTGGGGCCCTGAACTGGCAAGGATAAGGGGTCTTAGGCGGCGGGATTTATGCAGGGACCGTGGTCCGGTATCAAGAGGGGCAGTGGGCAGCAATTTGGGGATGGGATGATTTGGAGCAGGAATTTTTGGGCTAGGGGTACAGTATCTAGGGGAGTTAAGAGTGGAAATGAACTGGGCTGGTGAGTGCGCAGTGGTGGCCACCGGAACCTAGCTCCTTACCAACTCAGGCTCCTTCTCCAGGGTCGACCATGGGGCTCTGCAAGTGCCCCAAGAGGAAGGTGACCAACCTGTTCTGCTTCGAACACCGGGTCAACGTCTGCGAGCACTGCCTGGTAGCCAATCACGCCAAGGTGGGGTCTTCGGGGGAGCGGCTGAGCAGGGCACTGGGAGGGCAAGTATTGGCTTCCTCCAAATCCATGAAGAACCCGACGCTAGACTGGAAGCTCCACAAGGGCAAGGACTTGGTTTATTTTGTTCACTGCTATATATCCCCAGCCCTTAAGACAGAATTCGGCACACACTATGTGCTCAATAAATGTTTATTGAACAAACAAAAGGATAAGTCTCCTTTGTGATAAAGAGGTGGTTGGGGGTTAGGGGGCTAGGCTGTGGAGCCCCTGCCCCAGTTGTGACCTCTCTCTCCTACTCCAGTGCATCGTACAGTCCTACCTGCAGTGGCTCCAAGATAGCGACTACAACCCCAATTGCCGCCTGTGCAACGTACCCCTGGCCACCCGGGAGACGACCCGCCTCGTCTGTTATGGTGAGGCCTGAGCACCTTGCAGGGATCAGGATAGGACTGGCTCGGTGACCAGTTTATAGGCCTTCCCTTAGCAACAGGACAGTGGAACACCCCCAAGCTAGGGAGCCTGGAGCCCCAGATCCTAGTCCTGCTGGGTTACTTACGTACTCTGTGAGCTCAGATAAGTCACTTTTCCTTTCTAGGCCTCAGTGTCATTCCCTAAAAATTAAAACGCTTAGTTTCTTCTCTCCAATCTTGAGCGTTGAGCAGAGCCAGTCCAACTAGTGGGTGTGGTGACTGAGTGGTAGCTGGCCCGACCAGCCGTGAGCTGAACACACAGGGCTTTCAGACATCAGGATCCATTACTGATGCCGAGATTAAAGAGAGAAGTGAGTTTGCCACAGTAAAGTCAGCTAAAAGAAGTCAGTGGACATGTGTAATGACCTTGACCTGACTTTTCTGTAAGAGCCTTAGCTCCACCTTTTGAAGGGGCTAATGCAAAAGAGTGAGCTCCACGTATGTGTTTCTTAGTGTGAGTATGTGGGTATACGGGGGTGAATGGGTAATGTTGCGTGTGAACATATGCATACAGGTGTGTTGTGGGGCTGCAGGAGAGAGTGTGGGTGAGTGCTTGAGTGTTAGCAAACGAGTGTAGATTTATGTGAGAGTTAGTATGTCCGTAAGTGTAGATACAACGATAGTACTTATGTTTGATTATGTGTGTATAAGTACATGTAGATGTGTGCCCATGGATGTGTACAGGTATATGTGTACCTGTGTGTATGTCTAGGAAGCTTTTCTGAAATAGTTCTTGATTAGCTATTAGCCCAAGGAGTTTGTGGTATCTTCTTCCCACGCACCCCCACCCCCTAGTGGGCTGGGGAGCTTTGTGGCATCTGCTTTTCGTCAGATGGTGGTAGCCAATAAGGCTGAAGGCTTAGGAACCACTGTTGAAATGGACCTGGGATGAGGATGGGAAGGAGGCAGCTCTGGGCTTACATGTATATGCGCATATATCTGCCGTGAGCTGGGGGCTGTTTTCTGGGCTAGGGGCCCAAAGTGTCTGTCTTCTTCCTCATGCTTCTCCCCTATTTCATGGGCCCTAAGATCTCTTCCACTGGGCCTGTCTCAATGAACGTGCTGCCCAGCTACCCAGAAATACAGCGCCTGCTGGCTACCAGTGCCCCAGCTGCAGTGGCCCCATCTTCCCCCCAACCAACCTGGCAGGCCCCGTGGCCTCGGCGTTAAGAGAGAAGCTGGCCACAGTCAACTGGGCCCGGGCAGGGTTGGGCCTTCCTCTGGTGAGAGTCCCTTTGTCTGTCTAACCATCCATCTGCCTTGGGTCCCACCTGAGCCAAGTGGGTGGGTGAGGACAGCACTGAGCAACCTGGTGACACAAGTTCCTTCTTCCAGATCGATGAGGTGGTGAGTCCAGAGCCTGAGCCTCTCAACACCTCTGACTTCTCTGACTGGTCCAGTTTTAATGGTGAGTGGCGGTCTCCACCTGCTGTTGGGGCCCTTGCTTTCCTGCTCTGCTAACGGCTCTCTTCCTGCCACAGCCGATGGTACCCCTGAACAAGAAGAAAGCGCCAGTGCTTCTGCCGCCCCAGCTTTCTACAGCCAAGTCCCCCGGCCCCCTGCTTCCCCAGGTCGGCCTGAGCAGCACACAGTGATCCACATGGGCGGTCCCGAGCCCTTGACGCATGGTGAGCCGGGGGTTGTCTCGGCCAGGGGAGGATAGAAAATAAGTGGGGCGGTTCATGTGGAGGAAGCTCAGGGGTCCAGAGATGCACCCAGAGGGTCCCTTCCTCTAGCCCCACAATTCTGAGATATACTGTTCGGCCAAGAAGGGCAAGGATTTCCTGCTGTCCCTACTCCCCGTGCTCTGGGCCAGTTTCCCTGAGCCTGTGGGTGCTGGTGACTCTGCCTCTGCAGCCTCCGCCCCGAGGAAGGTGTATGACACGCGAGATGATGACCGGGCACCAGGCCTCCATGGGGATTACGATGATGACAAGTACCGTCGCCGGCCTGCTCTGGGCTGGCTGGCCCAGCTGCTCAGGTACCCAGGATTAGGTGGAGCAGGATGCCAGAAAGTGGGAGGATGGGGAGTGAGAGCAGAGGCCTTGGTCACGACAATTTCATAACCTCGTCCTGGGTAATATCGGTACCTGTTGTTGGGACAGAATGGCAGGGCCTCAGCTTGGCAGAAGTCTGGCTTGGCTCTGCCCTCTCCAAGGCTGTTCCTCACCTGCTACGTTTGAGGTTTGGACTCGTGCTCTTCGAGGCCCCTACCTGCTTTGACACCACCTGATCTTTGTAACTGTCCCCACGCCTGACACATTCCAGTTTCCAGAACATAGTTGTTGCCTCAGCTGGTTGGAGCTGCTCAGTCATCCTTATAGTGGGCAGGGGCAGGGGTGATCATCCCCGTGGCACACTTGAGGAAACGAGGCTCAGGGATGGTGGCGCTGGGGCCACAAGACGAGTGTCATGACCATGGCTTTCCCCCAGGCCACAGGGGCCACCAGGGACTGGGGGCCTGATCTCACTTTCCCCTCATCCCCCCCAGGAGCCGGGCCGGGTCTCGTAAGCGGCCGCTGACCCTGCTCCAGCGGGCGGGGCTGCTGCTGCTGCTGGGGCTCCTGGGCTTCCTGGCCCTCCTTGCCCTCATGTCTCGCCTGGGCCGGGCTGCAGCTGACAGTGATCCCAACCTGGACCCGCTCATGAACCCTCACATCCGTGTGGGTCCCTCCTGAGCCCTCGCTTGTTGCTGGGCCAGCCTAGGACCTGGGGGCCTGAGGTGGGGAGGTCTGGGGGCCCTTCTCTGCTTCTCTCCCTCAGGCCTGAGACACTAAGATCTCAGGCCCAAAGCCAAGTCCACCAGAGTGGCTGCAGGCTGGGCCTGGGGTCCCTACAGATCGAGATTTTGTCTTGACCTGTTTCCCTGGGTCTCCAGACTTCCACCCCCCAACCCATGAAGGAGCTGACAGGTGGAAACAACAGACTTTATTAAAGCACCCAAAGGTGGAAATAAATAACAGATTTTATTGAAACACCCGAAGCCTCCTTTTCCTTCCCCCTTCTCAGCCCAGCCCCCCAGACTCAGTGGATCTCCTCCCGGTACTGGATGGCCAGAAACTCCAGGGACAGGCGGTTGAAGAACATGGCTCCATTGAGCACTGGGCGGAGGAGAGAACCCTCATCAGTCTTCCCCACCCCGCCCCTTTGCAACATCTCAAGGTTCCAAAGCACCCATTCCCCCACTCACTCAGGATGGTCAGGGCAAAGCATCGAAGAAACTTCATGTCTGTCATCTCAGCATAGAGTGATCCCATAGCGGCCCAGCAGATGCTGATTACCTGGGAGAACTATAGGCCCCACCTAGTGGGAGAGTGCCCCCCCGGCACAACAGCGGGGTTTCCGTCAGCCCCTGGGCCTCCCCTGGCCAGCCTCCGAGCCCCTGCCACAGCCTACCATCAGGACAACTGTGTAGCGGAAGCTCATGCGGTCATAGTGGTGGGTGAAGCAGAAGTTGTGCACGTCGCTGGCAAAGACGCACAGGTGTATAAAGAAGAGCATCAGTGCAGCCACGGTGAGCATCATGCCTTGTGGGAAGAAGAGCACAGGTATGCGGTCCCGCCACCGCATCCTGGCAGCCGCATAGACTCAAGTCGCACAGTAGAGCTTGAGCAAGCCGACACTGCCCAGGAAAAGCTTCCGCTTCTAGAGTGCACGGTCTGGAATAGCAGTGGGATTCTAGAACCAGGTGCAAGGGGACAAGATTCTAGAACACAGGCTGGTTCCAACCCAAACAGGAGTGTTTTGTGGTAGTTGGGGGAAGCCCTGAATTGTGGAGGGGTGGTAGACTAAAGATACAGATCAATGGGGGCCTGTCATGTGGATGAAGGGATGGTGTCCCCATCCTGCCTCATACACTTGGGTCCTCTCAACAGTTCCACAGAGGAGTTAGTGTGGGCACGCTACGGGTGAAGAACTGGGGCTCAGAAAAGTGTGTGGGGATTACGTCCCAGGTCTCATCTTAGCCAGATGAGAGATTGGGACCCAGATGTGTAGGGTCCCAATCTCTCATCTGGAGGGCGTTCCCACGTGAGGCCCTGAATATCGGTCTCTAGGTATTTGCTTCAGCCCTAATGGGGAGGAACCGAGGGAAGGGAAGGGACACAGATTTCCCATAGCCAACCAGGGACCTTCCCTATGCCATCCATAGGTGTGGCCCCGAGAGCAACTGGCTTTTTCCTCCTCCCCAGATGTTCTCCAGGGACCTTATGCTGACCAGCTTTCCCCTCTCTGCCACCTTCCAGCACTCAGAGCATCTTCAAATCTGTCGCCTTTGTCATTTCAAGAGTCCAATGAGAAAGCTGGGGCTGGTGGCATAAATGTTACTTTATACCCAAATCTGAGGTACAGAGAGAGAGAGTGTCACTTCAAGCTTTCACAGCCAATGAGTGAAGGAGTCAGTACTGAGACTAAGACCTAGTTTTACTTGAGGTTGTGGAATAAGCAGGGACAGAAGACAAGAAGAAAACATTTCCTCACTATATGTAAGAGGTAAAAACTGCAGGACTATTAACAATAAGCTAGAAAAAAATGGCCAGAAATGGTGTGGAGGGACATGCAAGCTCCTAGGAACTGAAGTTGAAGAGGGAGGACTTGATGTTGAACTTCGTCACCCCCACTGCCTCCTGCCTGACTGCCCCAGGTTAGGTTCCGGGTCAGGCCAAGACCCAAACTCTTCTGCTCTAAGCAGTGGAGTTAGACCCTGACCTCGCCACCCATGCTTGCTGCCCAGTGTCAATCACAACAGCCCCTCAAACGCCCATCCTAATGAAGGGGTGATTCCCCAATGCCCAGCCATGGTCCCACTGCTGAAACAATTGTTTGCATCTCAGTTCTCATTTGAATATAAATGAACTTTTTTTTTTTTAAGTTGAGGCAACCTCTCTCCCAGACATATTAGCTTGTTAATATGGGATCTTAAAGCAAGTGTCCCAAAGTTCTTGCTTTTTTTTGTTTGTTTGTTTTTTTAGGCGAGGCAACTCTTGGTTAACCTCACAGATTGCAAAGACCTTGTCAGCTTACAATTCCTTATTTTTATTTACCTACTTATTTATTTATTTATTTTTACGCCTATAGCACCTCATCTTCTTAGGTGGTCTCCCATCCAAATACTAACCAGGCCTGACCCTGCTTCGCTTCTGAGATCACACGGGATCAGGCTTGTTCAGGGTGGCATGGTTGTAGACACAAATGAACTATTATACATTAGGGCTCCTAGCTCAATGCCATTTAAAAAGTTATCCAAGTGGTGTGTGAATATGTTCTTATAACAGATTTACATACTACACAAGTATACAGAAAACGGAACTACTGAGGTAACTCCCTCAGCAGTTTGCTGAGTGGGCCTCTTTGAGTGGTTCTTTTGGGAGGGGGGGCATTTCTTGATGTAACTTTATGCACCAACATGCACATACATACACATGCATAACAACATTTTTAAAAGCCTCATCGTATGTATTTTCAGAAAGTTAGAAATATGATATCAATATAGAATGAATGTGTAAGTTAAAGATATATTTAATATAGGATGCACATGTAACTAAGATGTATTAACTCATCAGTGAGGGGGTTCCCCCTCCGTAAGGTGGTAATGCATCTTGAAGAGCTGCATATTAATAGGCATTTAAAGAGGAATGTTAGAATATAACTAAGTTAGATACAAAACCGGTGTCCTACAGGACGATGAAAAATTTAATAAAAATAACGAGGTTATTTTTTCTGCTGGATATGTTTTGTATCTCTCCTGGAAAATACCTAATTGTAATTTTAGAGTCTGAATCCTTAATAGTAGATAGCAAAATCAAACTAATGTACATTCCTGTGGGTAATAAACCTTGGGCAGGCTTGTGAAATAATGGCCCGTGTGACATTGGAAGGACATACTACGTCCTTGGTTGTTTCCAAATTTTGGATAATTTTTCTTAGTACTCTGCAACTTTTTAAAAAGTTCGTAGGATTCTTGGAGTTGATCTAAATCTTTATACTCTTCTTCATTTTCTTGAGATTATAGCTTCATAGGCTAAAATCCATACACGTATTTTTTTAAACAGCCACTGAACATCCCATAGATTCAAGGATGAGCAGATTTTTTTCTGCAAGGAACCAGATAGTAAATGTTTTAGGTGTTGCCAGCCATGTGATCTCTGTTGCGACAACTCACCTGTTTGTAGAGAGAAAGCAGGCATGGATAATGTGTAAACAAATGGCATGGCTGTGTTCAAATAAAATTATAGACACAAATGTGATTTCACATAATTATGAATTTATGAACATTTTTAAATCGAGATGTTGACATATAAATATACAACACATTTGTATCTATGTTGAAGTGATCACAATAAGTTAACATCCTTATGGTTACGATATTTTTTTATTGTGATGAGAACTTTTAAGATCTGCTTTATAATTACATGAATTTCATGTAATTTTCACTTGTCATGAAATGTCATTATTTTTTTCAACAATTTAAAATGAAAAAGAAAAATCTTAGTTCACAGGCCATAGGACAACAGCTGGTGGGATGTGATTGGCCCTCAGGACCTTGCCAAAGAATAAACAAAGTTGTTGCCTTTCTACCACGACCGCCCCCCTCCACCTATCAATCATAAGTAATATTTCAAGGACCACGTGGATAAAATCGTTTTCTCCGTTCAAACAGCAGGTCTCAGTTTGAACTCCAAGTCATTCTCGTCCTCTTGAGCTTTTCACCGTTTACAACTGCATTTTTGTCCAAATCAGAAACCCGAGAATTATCCTCAACATCTTCACCCAACTCCTCACTCAGCACATCCTATCAGTCACTTAAGAACTGCCGAATCTGTCTTCTAAACACGGTACGTCTAAGTGCACCAGAACTACTTGTGGACTTTTAAAAAAATAAGTTAGCTAGGTCTGGGGGGAAGCCCAGAGTTTTAAAACGCACCAGTTTAAGTCTGAAGGCAATTCTGAACCAAGCCTCGAAAGACACCGCGCTAGAGGCACCGTGCGGCGTACTGTACCGTGCATTTAATCTTCGCAGCCCCCTGTGGAGTGCGTACCCCAATTTTAGGAATTGAGGTGGAAACAGCCGCTGCCCAGGTAACGAGGCAGTGGGCAGGATGCCAGGCACACGCTCTCTGGCTGTTAAAGCCCGCGCTCCAACCACTGCATCTAGGGACATATTCCGCGGGCTCTTGCCTGTGGGGGTGCGGGGGTGCGGGGTTGGGAGCCGCCACCCATCTTCCCTCTACGAGGGCAGCAACCTGACTAGTTCCCCAAAAACTTCCACTGGAGATGCTGGGGGAACCCAGGGCTCTTCCGGAACCTCTTTGTTCGGGGAGGAAACGTACGGAGGAACTCTAGTCTCGAAGGACCCACGGCGGCAGGGGAACGTTTCACTTGAAGGACTGTCTCATTGCAACAACAACTTTATGGTTCCCGGAAGTGGCTTCTCCCGGTCTCCTTCCCAGCTGGTGGGCTGCAGGTGGAGCGATGGCGGCGGCAGCCGCTGGGCCTGGCCCGGGGTCTGGACCTGGGGACTCCCCGGAGGGGCCCGAGGAAGAGGCTCCGGAGCGTCGGCGGAAGGCGCACGGAATGCTGAAGCTTTACTACGGTCTCTCAGAGGGGGAGGCTGCGGGGCGCAGCGCAGGGCCGGACCCCCTGGACCCGACAGATCTCAACGGGGCGCACTTCGACCCGGAAGTGTATCTGGACAAGGTAGGTGTATGTGGGGGAACCAGGCCCCCGATATGCTGCACCCCCAGATCATGCCTCCGACTTTGTTGTGGGGGTGAAGGAAACGGGTTCACAAGAGGAAGGCGACCCTCGCCCAGGACGACCCACGGCCTGGCAGTTGGGACAGAACTGGAGTCGGGGGCGTGGGCGGAGTTGACTGCCCTTATGTGGAGTCTGAGGTCTCCTGATGTTCTGATAGGCCCGGGATAGGGGGCGTGACCCAGACGCCGACTGGCACAGGACTGGGACTTAGCTGAGTCTGGGGATTTCAAATACGGACAAACCCCACATAGGGTCCCCCAAACCTAGTAACTCCAGAGCCATGCCACTTATAGGCTCCGTTTTGGGATTCCTGACAGGGGTGGGATCAGGGTTTTCTTGCACCAAAAGCCTTCCAGTTAGGAGGAAGGCGGGGGGACATGAGAACCCTCAGACCTGAATACTAACCACCCAGTTTTCTTCAGCTACGTAGAGAATGTCCCCTGGCCCAGCTGATGGACAGTGAGACGGACATGGTGCGGCAAATCCGGGCTCTAGACAGCGACATGCAGACCCTGGTCTATGAGAACTACAACAAGTTCATCTCGGCCACAGGTGATTCCCATTTGACGCAAGTCTCAGAGTCCCAGCTCCCCCAGTTCCTCCCCCTGTGCTGGGGAAACTAGCAGGGGATTTAGAGGGAGGAGACCCAGATTCCAGTCCTGTCCTGACATTAATCCACTCTCACCTCTGTCAATCAGAGCTTTTGTGGTCAGAAGACTATAGAGATAATAGCTCCTCTCAGAGGGTTATTTTAAGGACCAAAGAGGAGAAAGGACAAATGAAATTTTAAAATAAAGTGAATTTATCTGAAATCCTCAGAATCCCTGACACTAAGGATGCCTCAGTAGGTGTTCATTTCTTTCATTAGTGGCAGCTTTCTTCTGTGGTCCAGCTCTGTCTTGAGGATGGGCATGCCTCTTTTTTTTTTTCTTTCTCCCTTTCTCTTTTTTTTTTAATTAAGCAAAGAGAAAATGTATGACATTAAGAGACACAAAGATCATGTTAAGAGTTATTTTTCCTTCTGTTCCTTTTATTCTCTCTTCAAGACAGTGCTAGACAATGTTCAGCTGTCTTCCATAGTAGCTTCTGTCTTGTGTTGGTAGAATGCACTACTCAGACTTTTGTAATAATTTTGGACCCGCATGTACTTAGTCCTGGAGGCAGATCCCAAGGATCTGCCTGCTGTCCATGGATTGTTCCGTGAACCTCTTTGGGGTGCATTCTGGTGTCTCTCACTCTGCTAGTGTCACAATGGTCAGTGTAATAACACTTTGTCACTGTTCTTTTATCTGATTTGAAGCAGTTTCAGTAAATAGATACGTTTCTATTTGCTAATACCAGAATCAGACAACAAGAAACTATAGTTTCTGTGCTGAGAAATTTCTCACAGGAATTTTGCAAACATTACATTTTTCTATTTGTTAGAATATGTATAATGTTTTGACACTTAGCTCTTGCTTAATAGGGATGATTTGGTATTTTATCTTTTTCCTAAGAAAGGGAGAAAACAAGAAAGTATGGTTTAGTGTCAGGGATTCTAAATCTATAAAGGCTATAATTCAAGAAATATTCACTGAATGCCTTTCTGTCTATCTCTCTCTCCCTCTCTCTCTCTCTCTAATGCCAAGCGCTGTTCTGCACTTTGGGGATATAGCAATGAACCAGCTAGATCAGGCTCCTGCCTGGAGCCTACGTTCTAGTTGGGGAGACAGACAATAAATGAGTACACAAATTAAGGTGGTAGTAAGTGCTATAAGAAAAAAATAGGGTGAGAGGAAAAGAGTAACATGTGTGGGGGTCCACCTTTACCTAGGGTAGGTATGAGAAGGTGCCCCAGAGGTGGTAACATTTGAGCGAGGTCTTGATGAGAAAAAGCCAGGCATGGGGGACGGAGGCTAAAACAGCAGGATTACAGGCTTTGAAGAAAGAGCACGCACCATGTATTCACAGTGCAGCAGGGGGTTTAGAGAGCAAGGGAGGGGAGGAGAGTGGTAGGTGACTAGAGTAGAGGGTTAGTGAGGGCCAGATTATGTAGAGACTTGTAAGTGGTCGTAAAGATCCTGCTCTTTACTCAGATGAAATGAGCAGAAGAATGGGTGACTTGACTATTGTTTCAAAAGG